GGGGGGGGGAGTCCGCTCTTTTCCTAATGCAATCTGGGGCCGCCGCGGGCCGTGAAGGTGACTACGGCGTGATAATGTGAGCGGGGCCGTTAACAAATGTCTGATACACACACACTGACACACACACACACACTCACACACACACACACCAAGGCGCCGCGCACCCAAAACAGAAAGTAACAAGAGCCGCGAACAATGCTAGGCTCATGCACACATCACACATGCAAATGGAACATGGCTAATCGGGTAGCGTCGTCGGTTGTCAAGTAGAGAAGATCAGCTGTGTGGTGGAAAAGAAAAAACAGAGACTGATTGGAATAATCTAAATTTAGACGGCGGCCGATAACCGTAAAAACCTAGGGGAGCGCGCCCCGCTGCCGTTCAGTCAGTGACGTCGCCTCGTTAACAAAAGAGTGACGTTGTGAAATTACATGCGTCATCTCTCGTTGTCGACTCGAACAGTGGCACCTCTCTCGAGACCCCTGAACCTAATCAGTTTGAGCATACGGTACGGAGGAAGAAAAAGAAAATATGATTGAATATCTTTAGCAGCTCGACATCGCTCATGACGTCGCCGGACAAGTAATGACGTTCAAACAAGTGACGTTCAAGAAAGTGACGTTCAAGTGACGTTGTCAAAGACGCTGTCACGCGGTCAGGGCGACACGCGCTCCGCCGCGGTCCAAGGTCCTCTGCCTGCTGCTCGCGTGGTTTTGCCTTAGCGCCTTGCCACTGCCTTTTATTCACCGACAAGGTTGCGAACAGCGCTGCCAACAACAGACCAACACACTCACACACACACAGCTTTGCTGCTCCTCCACGACACACAGAGAACGCGTTCAGAAACAGAGGAGAAAAATGCCATGAAACAGGAAACGAGCCGGTGCCGCTCTCCTCGTCTCTCCCCCCCGCCCGCCGCGCCGCCACCCTCATATCCGGAAAAAGTTGTGAAACTAGTCTTTGCATAATAAGGCAGGCTACACATGTACCCACCGCACCGAGCGCGCGCGCGCGCCCGAGCCAGAGTCGTTGATACGGCCTGGGCATTAAAATATTGTTTCTGGCGTTATTTTCGACCGATTAATCCCCCTGCCGTGTATGTGTGAGCACACACACACACACACTCACGTGCGCTGTGCTCTGCGTACAGAGTGCCACTCCTGCTTTGAGCCTCAAATTATACACCCCAAGCACATGCTGCTGCTGCTGCTGCTGCTGCTGCTGCTGCTGGGCACGGGCGGCGGCGGGACCCCCGGGGGTAATTAGGAAGGGCCTCACGGCCTCACCTGCCCCCGCACAGCGCCCCGCGCGCGCACAGCAGCGTCCCGCCCTCGATGCACAACTACTAATTAATAACACGGGCATTTTAAGCGTAATCCAGCCGCGCTTACTCCTCCTTGTCGACAGGGTATAGAGCGTTGCAAAGGTTCCCGCCCCATTCACGACACAACGACCCGCCCAACCGACCGCCGCCGCCCCCCGCGGCCGACCGCGAGAGAGAGAGAAAGAGAGAGAGAGAGAGGCGCGCAGATTCGAAAGTAATACACTCAACGGTGGTGGTGGTGCGGGCCGGGCTTGTGCAGCAGCACCGAAATGAAGCAGCACAGGTCGTCATTATTACCCCCGAAAAGGGGCACATTAAAATTTGCTTTTATTATTTTTTGGCGGCGCGCGCGAACGAACCCGGTGTGTGAGGAAGGGAGGGGAAACAACGGGGGCTGCGGAATCTGAACGCCGCACACAGCAGAGAGCATCAAGAGCGCGCGCGGTGCATATCGCCATACTAATTGCTGCTCTTTTACTGCCCCGTTTGCAGAGCGAGAGAGAGAGAGAGAGAGGGTAAAGGAGTGAGATCGCATCGCGCACTCAGAGTATACGATGAAGGCGGAGGAGGGGCCCGGCGCCCGGCCAGGGCGCGACGGTCGCGGCGTTCCGCCCCGAAAAACTTTTTTTTCGCCATAATTGAGACATGAAACGATTCATTACGCCGCCGCGTTATTGGGCGTTTCTCACGCGCTAAAGGCTTTTACGGCCAGCGCCTCCCCAAATACGGGCACACACACACACACACACAGAGAGGCGCGCATAGCGCACAGGTGAGTGGGCGCAACGCGACGGGGAGCCCCGCCGTGGTGCCCGAGTGGAGCGAGTGCGAGTGAGACGGCCGGATAGGATCTACAACAACCTCACAAACAAACCGGTTCCATCAAACAAAGGCAGCAGCAGCAGCAGCCGCGGCCGCGGATCCTCCGCGTAGCGCCGGCCGCGGTCTGTTGTTTCTCATTCTAATTTTTTTTGTTTTTTAGATCCTCACATGACGCCCCCGCAACATACAAGGGGGAAAACATAGAACACGAAGGGCGCCAACAAACAAAAAGCAAAAGTCTAAAATTTTAGAAAATAATAAAAAGACAAAGTTGCAAAGCAGGAAGAAAACGGCGTTGAATCAACGGTAATACATGCACACGTCGCGACGATAAACGCGCCGCGAGCAGCCACACCCACCGCCACCTTCATCACCGCGACGCGAACGAGCCGAAAATTTGGAGGTGGCGGAGGGAAACACGCCCGCGGCGGGCGGCGGCGGCGGGGCCGGCGGGGCGCGCGTGCGGCGGCGAGCCGCGGGGCGGGGCTGGCGGCGGGGCCCGTGGGTGCGACGGAGAGCGCGGCGCCTGCTTGAGGGGGGGTCCGCGCGAGAGCGAGGGAGAGCGCGCGACAGCGCCCCGGCACCTCGTAACTTGGGGCAAAATACGAGCCCGGGCGCGCGGTGCGGACTGGTGTGCCGGCGGCGCTACCGTGCGGCCCGCACCCAGCCCCCGCCGGGCAGTAAACAATACTTTATCGGCCCATTTCGGCTCGAATATTTTCGAGTTGAAATAATAACGCCGTAGTGTGGTCCGACACGTGCCCTATACGCTTTGCACCACGGCGCGCGCGCTCGCTTTCTATTTGTTCAGAGATCCGGCGGGCGATATAGGCCGTTGTCGTCTGCTTGCGACAAATCACTCTCCGCGCACAGCAGCAAAACGCTCGCGGACATTATTTTCGTCGGCCTCGCGCGCCTTGAATTTTTTTTGTCGTCGTTGGTGTTGTTTTGGGGAAATGCGTCGGTCAGGGTCACCGGCCGCCGCCGCCGCCGCCGTACGGCCGCCCTAACCTCACTCTACCGGCCGGGTCCTCGCCACCGGGTGGGTCGCCGCCGGCCGCCTTGGTGCAGTGCGTGTGGTCCGGCCGCCCCTACTGCGGAAGCGACGCAACTTTTAATATCCCCCACCTTCGCGTACGAGTGCTATTCGCGGGCCGCGCGTCGTGGCATGACCAGGCGCCATATTCAAAGAGTTACAAAATCACGAAGAGAGACGAAAAAAACAAATAAAACAGCACACAAACACGCCGTCGTGTCGAGGGAAAAAAATCTAGCGTGGAACGCTCGCTTGGCGCGCGCAGATCCGCTCGCTCCGCGAATCGCGTGGAGGGCCGACATTTTTATTATGTATTCCTAGTCCATGTCCTAAAGAATGTGCGTGTTGTTCGTGAATGTGTGTGTGTGTTTGTGTATACGAGCGCGGCCCCCCGCGACCCCAACCAGCTGTCTGCATGTGCACTCCAGTGAGACGAAGGCAGTTTGCTTCTAGGTCGACCAAGGCTGCTGCCGCCACAGGCTACCTTCACTAACCGTTCACGCTTCGGGCGGGAACTCATCAGCAGTACACACGAAATAATAGCACACCCACACACACACTCGGAGGCACAATGATACATAATTACTATCGAATCGCTCGTTACTATTTGCATGGAGCAGCACATTTTTAAATTATCTACAATCGAGGAAAGATAGAATGTGCTGTGAACGGGGGCGCGCGCGCGCTCACGAGCAGCGGGGCGATCATTGCCGTCCTGCGGCGCCCCTGGCGAAGCCCGCAGCAAAGCCATAGCCGCGCACTGCGCTTTCATAAACGTGGTGCATAAATGTGTGTGTCCTGGGCGGGCCTGGGCGGGCCGGGCAGGGCAGTGCCTCCCCTGCGCCGCCGCCGGGGGGCCCCCGGCCTGGCGAAGCAGCAGCAGGGCGACATTCATGGGAACGGCGCGGTGGCGCGTCCCGTGCGGGGGGTCCCGCCAGACGGGCTGGGTCCCCGAGCCCCCACGGCACGGCCGCAAAGACCGCCCGGCCCGGCACTACCCGGAGCGAGGCAACGGCCGCGTCAGGTGCCGACGACGACGACGACGATATCGCAGATATAATGCGCTTATATTCCTCGCGCCGTCGTACTACTCACCTGGCTGTGTGGAGATCCTCGGAAGGCCAGCTGGGACATGGTGTGGGGGCGGCCCACATATGACACGCCTTTGCGCGACTCGCTCAGCGGGGCAAGTCGGCCATGTTATCAATCAGCAGCACCCGCGGCGGGGCGGGGCGGCGCATGGCGGGGCGGGCCGCTCAGGCCGGGCAGGCCACTCAGTTAATTGCAGTCCGTCATGTTTGTCCACTTGAAAGGCGCCGCGCGGCCGCGTTATCAACCACGGCAGGGCCCGGCAGGCGATGCCTGGAAAGAGGAGAGAAAACCCAACAGGAGTGAAGAGTAAATTTTTGTGTCGTGTACACAAGGCGGAGATAAGCGGAGGGGCAGCGCGGCACCTTAAAACACGATCGCGAAACAGGACTAATGGAGAGAGAGAGAGAGAGAGAGAGAGAGAGAGAGTAGTGAGTACCCGGGCGTGTTTGTATGTGCGCCGGCCGCCGCCGCCGCCACGGCGCGACAGTGTTGATACGCGCCCGTAGAGCCGTCAAGGGTCTCGATGGAAATCTGTCGCCAGCGGCAGCGGTCACACCGAAAGGAATCAGAGCCATCATCGCGTGGTCGGTCGCGCCTTACTCTGATGTCTCGACCCGGTAAAATATTTTTGAAAAATAACAAACAGTAACAAACTATATTTTCTCGCAGGTTTCATAATTGTATTCCAGGCGTTTGATATACGGGGATCTGAAAGGCATCTCAATTGATTGTGTGTGGGCGTGGAGTGGCTAATTGACACGGTGTCCGCACCTCCGCCGCTGCGGTGGCCGGAGCATCGCCAGCGAACGAGATGGTAAAATAATAAAAAATGCATCCGATTGATTCCCCGTCTAACCTTAAACCCCCGACTTCCGCGCCGCGTGACAGTACACAACGCGTCTTGTTGAGAAGATGAAGAGGCGATATACGAGTACACCTTGTTCCGACGCTGACGATAGCATCTTCTTTTGCCGCGCGTCGTTATACGATTTGTCCCCGCGCCTGTCATCGTCCATTTTCTTCTACGGAATATAATTATCGTGCAACTCATCGGCCCGGAGGAGCCCGTACGGCGGGGCGTGGCGGAGCGGGGCTCGGCGGGGGCCCAGGCAGCAACAGCAGCAGCACACAATATCTTGATCTCGATGCCCCCAAAACGCGTCGCCTCGCGCCGCACGTCGGCCCAGGAGAAATATGAGTGTGTGGTGAGTCCGACCCGTCCCGGAGGCTCGGCCGGCGCCGGGCGGCGCGCTGCACGACCGACCGACCGAACGGCCGTTGACCAACACCTGGTTTCGCAATTAACTGTTATTCCCGCTTGGATTTACTAGGCTTCGAGTCGGGTTCCGTTCCGGGGCGCGACGCGCTCGCCGGGCCGAAGACGTTTGCGTGCAGCGCTTCCGCCTCTGTTTTCATCAAAAAACACGGCCGGTCGAAAAATAGAGCCCCGTGCCGAGATGCTAATGGTGTTCGCTGATACTATCGTAGGGCCTCGCGGTATATAAATGAAACAAATGCCGTGCTCAACACATGTTCGGTCCTGACCTTAACACTTGCAAAGCAGCCGTCTATCGTTAAGTCGTGATTTAGATTGACCCAGAACCTTTGTAATCATTCACCGGCCAGTGTCTTAAGTTGGCTTAATCAAGGCGCACACTCGAATGGTAATAAGACACGCGACGACAGTGGTCGTTGTCATCGGCTAGTGTCTAGGAATATCTCCGCGGAAGAAAGGAATATTCCTATTGAGGTGACAATGTATTGGAACTACTGCGCCCGAGTTTTGCTCATATTTCGGCGCTTAATATCAACATCATCAAAGCTTTGTCGTGCAATATTCGATAACCACTACACAAATAAAAATGAAATGGGAATTCGCAAGCTCGTCCGGGACGGACAAGCAAAACATCCAATAATTTCCACCACCAGTGACCGATGGTATCCGCGGGCGCGCGAATGTGATGTCGCCGCGCAGCTGTAACTCACTTGCATCACGACACCACTAAACGCCGCCGCGAGTGAAACGCGCGAAACGCGAGTTGTCCGTCGTTTAATTCCCGATCATAACGCGCGCGGCGAGTCTGTTCAATTAAAGACCGAGCGCGCACGCTGGCGATTTGTTACGGGGTGGTTGACACGCCGCACTGGCGCGGCGTACACATGTCCATGTGCCCCTCACACTGTTGGGCGCGACAACTCAGGGGGGTGGGTGGACGGCTGGCGCGTGCGTGTATGGATGTGGGGTGTGTGTGAGTGAGTGTAACAGAACAGCGAGTGAACTAGACACAGCCGTGTAAGAAGATTTCAACTCACCTCAAGCAGCTTGGTGAATCCAGCGGGCGGTTAAGCAGAAGTATCCAGAGAAAAGTGCAGACGTTGCGTCGTCGCGTACATCCAATATTTGTGCACTTTTAATCCACTGATATCGACCACAAAATCACTGCACTGGCTTGTCGTCACAAAGATGTTTCAACACTGTGATGTTCTTGATGCACACACACTGTCACGATGTCACACTGCTGTCACCACAAATCACAGATTTTTTCAGATTTGCACTTTTAATTTTTTTCTTCCGTTGTTGCACTGATGATGAAAGAAGCACTGTCGATTTTTCCAACGGCGATGGGAGAGGAAGCATCCACAACTGTAAGCACACACACACACGCGCACGATCACTGACTGTCACTGAGCACTGGTTGAGGTTAGAGGCAGGTGGAGGCCGGCGGCAGCCCGGCTCGCTCAGCAGGCTCGGCTCGGCTCGGCTCGGCTCGGCTCGAAATGCCCAGCACAGGCCCCGCTCCCCTCACTGTAGACTGACTGCTACTGTGGGCTCGCACCTCGCTCCGTCACCGCAGCGCGCACCGGGGCAGCACGGGGCAGGCAGGGGACAGGGTCCCCCCCTCGCTAGTCAACACTCATTCGTCGGACGACGAAAAAAGAAGAAGGGGAGGAGGAAAAAGAATAGTGAATGATGTAGATTAAACCAAGAAAGCGGCGGAGGTGGCGGTGGCGGCAGCGGCGGCAACGGCGAGCGAGCGCGGTGGTGGGGGCGGCCGGCCGGAGGGGTGGGGGAAGCCTGACCAGCTATTAGCGTGTCGGCCGTTGACAAGCATCCGCAGCGCAAGAAACGCGGATTCAGTCAGAGGGGCGGG